AGCTATAATACATAAGGACCCAAAAAAGACCGCTAGAGACAACCTCACCATATTCCCTTTCCTTAACCTAAATGTTCACCGCAAATTTACGCTTAACGCTAAGCCTACCCTAACCTTAAATTTCCTTAACTCCAAACCTAAACCTCCCCCTTGCCCTTATTTCCGTGGCGTTTAGCGCAAAACCACACTTACGGAGGGGACAGTTTCCGTGTGCATGTTCCGCGACATTGGGACCACATAATCATAGTCGCATTTAGTGGCTCAGTGTATGCTAGCTTCTTATTTCTTCATCTACGAGTCTATACATCAAAGAGTAGACGTGGGGAGTGGAGAAGAACCGAACAAGAACATATGTGCAACTCTGAAAGTACGAGATGATCCTGATGACACCGGAGAGAACGTAGAGCACTATTATCGCCCTAATTGACCTTTTTTGTTTTTATAAACATTTATATAATCAAGCTGACTTTCTTTTAGAGCATACTTCTAACAAGGATGCCCAGGGGGTAATTTGCGGCGTACTCCATGGTCTTCTAGACTGTTGTTTACAGAGAGAGTCAACCATAAATAGACGGGTCAATCAATGAGGGCTAGAAAGAGCACTCACTTTTTAGGGTAAATTTGGCAAGGATTTGGGGGACGTCGTCCGGTAAACAGCCGAACTTGAGTAGTTCTACCTCAGCCTCCGAAGTCTCGACGAAAACGCCACTGCTGTTTGAGTGCTGGAAGTAGACGTAAAGCTCCAGGTGGTCGACACTTTTGGATACAATCCACGCGCGCAATTTATCAACGGGCTCCTTGTCAACATCTGAGTGTAGAAAAGTAAAGTATTAAAGTAATATGCATATATGTAGTGGATAGTAAAAACCTTACTCTGCATTTCAGATGCGTCAACCGAAAACGAGTAGATGAAAGCCAATCTTATTGCGTCTATATGGAGTTTGTGGAGAATTTCCTTGGAACATTTGCTTTATACGATGCGGTTAAATGGTCTCCTTCATATTTTTGCTTTTTTGGCTGCGGAAAAAATAACCTGCATAATTTTAAGTATGGTTAGAGTTAAAACCACCTGACAAATAGCCACGTAAAGTATGTAGACAGTTGGGTAGAAATCAATGAGATGAGATATCTACTGATTACAAAATACCCGGGAAGAGACCTGATCAAGAAAAACAACACATATTTTTCATCATTTTCTTTAATTTTATAAAGTAAGCAAGCACTGACTTTCCCAAACTCATTTTCTCTATCCTCAGGCATCAGGATCCGCATTTTGGCCTCTTCGCCACAGTGTACAGGTCTGAAGGTCTTTACTTTTTATTCCCTCTAATGAGTCGTCAGAAAGTCATCATGAAGCATATACCCGTTTGCCAAGGAAATATATTGGATACTTTGGTAGTAAAGTAGAATTTAAGACAGAGAGATGCTATCGCGGTATATTACGGTGTCGCAGCAACTGTGCTGCTAGTGGATATGCATTTTACTTCCGATAAATATATTTTTAAGCTTTATAGATAAAATGTTGGGAATTTTCAATAATAACGTTAGCGCATCGTAAGCTTACCTAATTGGTAATTACACATTAGGAAAATCTCTAGACTACAAGTTTTATGAGTACGTTTTAATAGGCCGTGGTTGCTTATTTTATTAAGAAGCAAGTTGGTGCACAAGCAATACGGACAATAATTTTATTAAAGGGCCGATATTGTGATATATTTTTAGTGCTCAGAAGCAAAAACATGTAAAATGGTTGAGAACGTTTGCTATTTCTCTCTGAAGGTCAGCTTAGAGATTTTTTTATCTATCTTGTTTGGCCGAATGTTCATGTAGAAAACGAATGAAGAAAATCTTTGTGTGTGTACAGCTTTCATCGGCTGATTAACTGCCGAAAGCGCTACTTACTTAATCTTCATTTTTTACGAAATCCCAAGCGGTCATCGAGTCTCAGGGAACTTTCTTGCTTTTTTGATTAGTATAAAGAACTGTATAAGGAAAAGCATTTCACATTCAAATGTGATCTACTGACTATAAGATACCTCGTGTCAACTGTGGACGCCTCAGATTTAGCGTTCTATATTGAGTGCGTTGGTCATTAATCTACCTTCAAAAATAAATTAGAACAACCGCCGACAGAATTCATACTTTTGGTTATATATTGCGGGAGATAACGAACCAATAATCCAAAATTTGTCTACCACACGACGTGGTGAAAGGGAGCTGTCAGCGACCGGCAGAAACCATTCGTATGTGACCGCATGTCCGCCGGCAGAATCTGGATACATAATTGGCGGTGATAGGCGATAGGCCTTTAATGTCCAATTTTGTAGTTCCTCAACATCAGGAAATTGTTGCATTGAACCCAGATGAGTGTCCTGTAGAGAGTCGCAAAAAATACACATAAGTTCCATGAGAATGAACTCAAAAGTGGCCCCTCCGATCCTTGGGACAGTGATAAGCAAACAGTTACAAATTCAATAACTGACACTTATTATGAATAGAACTTCACTGCTTTCGAGGTTTTTTTCAGATTGCGTATAAAAGATTCTGAATCGGTAGTCATTTGGTGGCTTGCGTTATCAGTATATTATTTTTATTTCTGTAATGCATCGACCAAAGCAAGTCCCTATTACGAAAGCTCGGCAAAGCTCTTAGTAGTACTTAAGCTGCCTAGGATGTTCAATCAAAATGCGCCAAAACTACATGTTTTTGAAAACCTTATCGTGTACCGATAAACATCAAAAGAATTTTACAAATATATTATAAACGTCTTCAAGTTCCATATCTTAGAGACTGATAGTTGCCCTTTTATTGAAGAAGACAAGCCATGATTTATTTTAACCAGAAGGGCCAAAGAACAGGCGCTCAGACGCTCCAACTGCTAGAAAACTCCATTATCAGACCATAATGATAAAGTTTTCCGCACATGTAAACTACATTTCTAAAACATATGCAGACTTTAAGCCCATTTCAATAGAATTTGTTCGGGATGTGTAGCTAATTCTTACTATATATTGAAAAGGCCGAGCAAAGAGCCTAGCCGAGCAACTAATTCACGGGAAACAACACTGGGCTTGTTAATTGATAACTTTTGCGTGTTCCAATAAAGAAGTCTGTTTCTAAACAGAACAGTTCGAAAGTAGCCTTAACAGTGGTGTAACGTCAATGAGCAGGACCATGCCGAAAGAAGAGGCTTCGCTGTGAAAGGTTTATTCATGCCTTGACGATTCTAATGTAATTTTGCCTTTTCAAATCACAAAAATGGTCAGCACTGCGCCTGGACCAAATTTCACAGACCCACTTCAGGCCATAAATAATTTATATCGTAATAGGTTTGTCAGTTTGACACCGACTTTCTCCAAACCTATTGTCAGTTGCAAAATTTGAGATATTTTTTAGTTTGGTATCATTTATATTGCCTTTAAGAAGTTCTTTTTTCAGATGTAATACTATCGAGAGTTAAGCTTTCAACTTAAATCAGTTTTCAAGCGGCTGGATAAATTTCGGTAGAGTAAGAGTCTTCATCTAATTTCCTTGGAATCAGGTTCTTATATTCGCTTTAGCAACCTACGTTATAAACGTAACGCACCTGGGTAAGACGACTCTTAGTCTGCTTGTCTTCGGTCCACGACGTGTTGACCCGCAGGTTTTCGGAAAAGGAAAACCCAGTTGCAGACATCAGGAAGAAACCAGGTCGACCTTCAGTGGGCAGTTCTATAACACTGGTTTTGTCGAAGGTACTGTTGTGTTGCTCAAAGGCAGCCCAGTAGCGTCGTTGAAGTACGACATCTAAAGAACAGGGAGCAATATTCGAAACAACTTTAGACAACTCGTTCATTGACTAATCAATCTTAAATGTGAGGCTGAAATAAATTTAAAAAATCCGTTTTCGCCTAAAATAATCGTGTTAAGTCTGCGCAGTTAGGCATTTCCCAATTTCAGATCTGCCGGCTTCGTAATGAGTTTTAGCTGGTTAACGATAGCTAAGAAACCAGAAGTGATTATGTCAATTCGCCTCCTCTTTTGATGACTGCATATGTTGCTAATTGGTCACTCGTTCTCAAGCGTCTGCTTGCGACTACTTTTATCCAATCGAAGTCGTCCACATTTTGTCCTGTGATTAGGATAGAACTATAAGGGTACGCACAGTATGCCGTAATATTCCTTACCTTTCCATATTATCATTTTCTAGGCAGGGTAAAAGGTTGTGTATGAATATAAAATGCCTTAAATATGAAAGTATTAGGTGCAGCCTGCCAAGTTAAAGTCATCTGTTGAATTTGAGAAGCATCAACGCCACAAAAAAAGAATTCGGATATTCAGCTTGCTTGTATGCGTTTTCGATTTTTAGTCGTTCAGGTCGCCAAAATTCCCATCACAGAAATCCGAAGGGTAGTTGGCGAGCATACGTATACTTTCAATAAATTCTCACCAGGCCATTGCATTTATATGGGAGATGGGTAAAGCTTAAAAGGTAAATTGTAGGTAAAAGAAAATTAGTCCAGGGGATAGGGGAGGGGGTGGGGTAGTAACAAGCGGATAATTAAGCGGTAATTAGGGAGAAAGGGGGAAGGGGGAAGGGAGAGAGGAGGCTCGGGGAAAATATGCCGGTAGCTAGGTGGCCGTTGGCCATGCTTAGCTTGGGGCTTGCAGCAGGTTATAATGGTCGCACGAGTCGGCGCCTATCCAAAAGAATAAAGGAACACCTCCCGCAA